CACGGCCAGCCACACACACACACACACACACACACACGGCCAGCCACACACACACACACACGGCCAGCCCCCACACACACACACGGCCAGCCCCACACACACACACGGCCAGCCCACACACACACACACACACACACAGCCACACACACACACGCCAGCCCCACACACACACACGCCAGCCCCACACACACACACGGCCAGCCCCACACACACACACACGGCCAGCCCCACACACACACACACGGCCAGCCCCACACACACACACACGGCCAGCCCCACACACACACACACGGCCAGCCACACACACACGGCCAGCACACACACACACGGCCAGCTACACACACACACACGGCCAGCCACACACACACACGGCCAGCCACACACACACGACCAGCTACACACACACACACACGGCCAGCCACACACACACGACCAGCCACAAACACACACGGCCAGCCACACACGGCCAGCCACACACACGGCCAGCCACACACACACACACGGCCAGCCACACACACGACCAGCTACACACACACACACACGGCCAGCCACACACGGCCAGCCCCACACACACACACGGCCAGCCACACACACACACACACGGCCAGCCACACACACACACACACGGCCAGCCCCACACACACACACACACGGCCAGCCCCACACACACACACACGGCCAGCCCCACACACACACACGGCCAGCCCCCACACACACACACACACGGCCAGCCACACACACACGGCCAGCCACACACACACGGCCAGCCACACACACACGGCCAGCTACACACACACACGGCCAGCCACACACACACGACCAGCTACACACACGGCCAGCCCCACACACACACGGCCAGCCACACACACACACACACGGCCAGCCCCACACACACACACACACACACACACGGCCAGCCCCACACACACACACACACACACGGCCAGCCCCACACACACACACACACACACACACACGGCCAGCCCCACACACACACGGCCAGCCACACACACACACACACGGCCAGCCCCACACACACACACACGGCCAGCCCACACACACACACACACACACACGGCCAGCCCCACACACACACACACACACACACGGCCAACCCCCACACACACACACACACACACGGCCAGCCCCACACACACACACACACACACACACACGGCCAGCCCCACACACACACACGGCCAGCCCCACACACACACACGGCCAGCCCCACACACACACACGGCCAGCCACACACGCACACACACGGCCAGCCCCACACACACACACACACACACACGGCCAGCCCCCACACACACACACACACACACACACGGCCAGCCCCACACACACACACACACACACGGCCAGCCCCACACACACACACACACACACGGCCAGCCCCACACACACGGCCAGCCCCACACACACACACACACGGCCAGCCCCACACACACACGACCAGCCCACACACACACACACACACGGCCAGCCCCACACACACACGGCCAGCCCCACACACACGGCCAGCCCCACACACACACGGCCAGCCCCACACACACGGCCAGCCCCACACACACACGGCCAGCCCCACACACACACGGCCAGCCCCACACACACACACACACACACACACGGCCAGCCCCACACACACGGCCAGCCCCACACACACACACACACACACACACACACACGGCCAGCCCCACACACACACACACACACACACGGCCAGCCCCACACACACGACCCTCTATATACGGCCTGCTATATACGGCCGGCTGTCACACACCACCAGCTATTATTGTGCACGGGTGTTCGATCTTTTTCTCCTGGACAAACATGACAAGAGAGCGACTCATTTAAGAAGTCAAAAGAAAGGGTTGATATGCTAGCTTTAGAAGAAGTGCAGTTAATTGGTCCCTCAACGCAATTGATTCTATCTTTTCAACTCGTAAGCGTGGGTCTGGAGAGCCCGTGTGTCCGGACGGGACTTCACCAGCGGGGTATACACTTGACAGCTGGAACAAGTGGCAGCCCCTCTGTCTGTCGACCCTGTCCATTGAAGATTCGGAAGACGTATATATCTTTGGCATTTTGGTGGCGGGAATCCTCCTGTTTGGGTTTGGAGCGATCCTCTTCTACCACAAATTCGGAGGCATGGCAGTTCGCAAGATTCACGACCTGCTGGCCGATAAAATTGATGGGATGTACAAGGAGCTTAGCCGTGTCGTGGTTGAGAGTGCCGTGTCTGGACAACGGAGAGTGGTGTTGGTGGAACAGTTGATCAAAGACCTCGCAGCTCGTTCACTTGATGGACATAAGACCTTAGAATTGAGATTGAATGACATTGTTTGTCAGGCTTGATCTCTCTGACCCGGCTTGGATTTGCCCCTGTGTACGGAGGTCTGAGGGCACCGGAATTCGGTTTAATTGGAATTAATAGAATATCTGCCTGATTTTGACTGCGACATTGCAGGCGATGTGTTTTTCTCCTCCTGTGGCTTCTCTCTCCACTCTTATCTCACATTCCTCAGCCAAGGCCATAAACAAGGTCCCACAATCTACAACAACTCACACTATTTCAGTCTTCAGCAAGGATCCCCCACCCCCGCCTCCCTCTACCTATCCATCTTGCTCCCTCCCTCCCCTCCATTCCTTATTGTTTTCCTACTCACCCCCTCCCTGATCCCGCCCCCCTCTGACAGCTACATTGGGCCGGCCGAAGAGGTGCTCTTCCCGAGAAAAAAATCCGTGGTTTATAAAAAGCACAATGTGTCTATCCAATTGTTTGTGAACTGTATGTTATTGCTCTCTGCTGTTTCTTGCTGCACACAGCGCCGCAAATGGCGAAGTGGCACGCTCTCTGCCAAAACAATTTCCAAGTGATAACTTTGTTACTCACGTGGCAATAAAAATGATTCTGATTCTGATTCTGATTAATGCTCCATGAAACTATTGTTTATCAATATTTTGGTCCAAGTTATGTATGCACTGATTGGAGGCATACCCATAATTTGGAAATATTCATATCAGAACAGATCCTCTCCAGGGGGGGGCAGACTAAGTCCAGGCTGACCCTGGCGGATCAATGGAGTGGGATATGGGGGGGGGTCTCTCAGGCTGTGGACCCTCTCTCTTACACCATGTAGCTAATAGCCTCCTGCGGGCCAGAGCCTCTCTCTCCCTTATGTGTTCTTGTGTTTGGTTTTTCTTATGTCTCTGTATCTTGTAACTGTTTAGTGTCATTCAATATCTCTTACATCTATTTGGTTTAGTATATTTAGCCACAACTAGATTCTCGTTATAACACTCATGGCATAAAAAATAAGGCAATAGGTGGGATCTAAAGGATCACAGACAAAAAAAAGCCCGTTTCAAAACAAGAATGTCCCCGTCCTCTGCAGCTGTATTTTACAGTGTATGCACGGCTTCTGACAGCTGCTGCAGCTCAGACCTTCAACCAACGGGCACGGTTAGAAAAATGTATAAAGTGATTGTTCCTAGATCTAAAAAACTCCAGGTCCATTTTGATGAAGGACAATGTTGTAACATGGTTAAAGGCGAACAGTTGTTTGGCCTAAATAAGTCTATAATCAGCCAGACATCTCCCACAATAGTAATATAAAAACACAATCATAAATCAGACTCGTATGAGATTCTGAAGAAATCTGGCGTCGTCACTGAAGCGCCGCATCTTTTTACAGCTTTAATAATTTACACTCGGTTCAGATCCTGCACATCTACACAGCTGTGAATGAGAGCGCCGTTATGTAATTATCTGACATTATGATTCAAATGTGGGAGCTGCAAAAGGAAGAAACTAAGCTCTTTTTGGACATGGAGCCGGGGAAGTATGTTTCTCAAAGGGCTCAGACTAAATAGATGTTTAGGTGGTGGTTTTATAGCCGTGGTATGGCTCACGTTGCCATTTCAGCAGTCTGGCCTGAAAACAGGGTTATCAAATGTAAATAAATAACTACGGAATCTTCTATCAGGGTTTGAAAACAATGGAGGTCATTCATGCAGAGAGCACATGTAGGTTTTTCTGCAATGGTTCAATGGGGACTTTCTTCAAGCGACGCAAAAATGTGACAAAACTAATAAGTTCAGACCAGGCCTGAACCAAACAGATTATCATATCATTTAATATACACTTTATAGACGCCCTTAGTCATTATTTTTAATGTCTAGATATTTTATCATCAAATGAAAGATGAGCATAAATCACCAGAGTAAAGAGTCTTTGCCTTCTCTTTCTTTTGTGTCCTGTTCCTTCCTGAATTATTTCCTGCATTTGTTCTTATTGATAAATTGACTTTTATAGGCTTGCTTTACGTTGACTGTAGCACTTTGTAAACACTGTATTGCCAAAGTGCTAGTGGTCGTCCCGCTCCCTATGAACCAATGGCTTATTACTGTTTATTTAGTGTTCCAACTGTTTGATTCTCTGATCTGCTGATGAGAAATCCTCCAACACGACTGCTGTTGTGCTTTAAGGCTAGACACAAATTTAATTATTATTGATATTATTCTCATCCACATTAAAGAAATGTGTTTGCACAAGAAGCCAAGCTCTTATTGTAATAGACCAAATGCTAATTAAAAGCAGATCGTTCAAAGCGAGGCCTGGTCATAGAAAAGTAAAATAATGTTGACACTGCAGCGTGTGACCTAGATTTGGGAGAACGCATTTACAAAAACTGCAGCTTTATTCTACCGGCTCCTAAAAGTCTATGGCCTTTTCTGTTCTGTTCGACCTTGGGCGCCCCTGGGAACCCGCGCTGAAGTCCGTTAGCCAGTGTTGATTTATTAGTGCTACACATAAAACATGATGTCCTGTGCAGCGGGCAAAGGTACACAGCTTAGAGCCGTGTAAGAGTCCGGATCAAGTCCCGCTGCGTCTCTGGCCTCTCATCATGGGTTTGATTATGTCAATGTAAAAGAGGAGAAAAGTGTTAGAATGAGGATGGAGCAGATGAAGTGGCACTCATCTGAAGACAGACTCACGAACTCACGTGCACGTGCAGCAGCGACAGACTCACGTGCACGTGCAGCAGCGACAGACTCACGTGCACGTACAGCAGCGACAGACTCACGTGCACGTACAGCAGCGACAGACTCACGTGCACGTACAGCAGCGACAGACTCACGTGCACGTGCAGCAGCGACAGACTCACGTGCACGTGCAGCAGCGACAGACTCACGTGCACGTGCAGCAGCGACAGACTCACGTGCACGTGCAGCAGCGACAGACTCACGTGCACGTGCAGCAGCGACAGACTCACGTGCACGTGCAGCAGCGACAGACTCACGTGCACGTACAGCAGCGACAGACTCACGTGCACGTACAGCAGCGACAGACTCACGTGCAGCAGCGACAGACTCACGTGCACGTACAGCAGTGACAGCCTCACGTGCACGTTAGGGCTTTGACTTTTGCACTAAAATCATATTCGAAGTTTGTTTGTTTATTAATTTAAATAAGTCACTACTTCTGTCTGTGCAGGGAACTATCAGAGCTAGCAAAGCTCAATAACACAAATAATCAATCAACACCTTTAAACGTTAATGGGAGAATACATTATGCATATACATTCTTAACACACGTGCACAGAGGTTTTCAGAATTATCGCCCAAAACTTGGAAGTAACCATTAACATTAGTGGAACATTTTAGGACACATTTGAAGAGGGCCTGATAATGGATTTAGGTTCGGTATATAAATGGGTAACTCACCATTGATGTTCAGAATTCTTGGTTCAGTTTTCATGTAGTTCCAGAGAGTTCTAATTAATTAGCTAGCGTAGCTGTTACTAGCCTATCCATGTCACGGTGCAACCTTTGGGAACTAACTATTTTATATATACATATATAATTTAAAAAAGATAATGCCCATTACAGCTGCGAATATTAAGGGCTGTCTAATATTCGTTCGAATATATTTTAATATTCGAATTGAATTTGAATTTTGAACTTTGAAGTCAAAGCCCTAGTGCACGTACAGCACAGAGCCTGGGAAGACCCAGCCCCAGCACTGTTTATTCTGTGTGTAAAAGGTTTCTTGACTTACGGTTCAGTCCACAGTGCACTAATCACATCCAAGAGCATTGACATTTGAAAGACTTATGAAACAACAACAACATGCTGCATGCATTTCCCGACGTGTTTGAGGTGCGTGCAACAATAACAAGCATTTTAATGGCAATGTTACAGTCACAAAACCAGCCAGAGCACTTAATAGCAATAATGAAATGGCCTGAATCATCATATTCTCACACCAGGCAGAGGTCAATCTTGTTTAGCTTCTTGTTCACACGTGTGCTCGAGGGGGAAGGAAACGGCTGCATTGTAATCTGCTCTCTGAAACTCGTCCATCAGGCTGCCGTCCAAACACATTGATCTTAAAGGCAACCAAATCCCAAAAGCAGCAGTTCTGTCCAACTCATTTAGCCCGTCCTGTGACCCTGTGACACGTCGGCTTTCAGAAACCTCGCAGTTAAGGTCATATAATAAATTACGCTTCAATCGTTCAGGTGATTGGGGAAGCTCTGACTGGATGTCAAAATGTACTGCAATGTTACAGAACAACCAAAGGCTTCGATCTCCGTGACATCAGCCAAGCCATCAACTCATGCCAAATAGTTTCAATACGACAATAACCAATTTCTCAAATATATTACAATGAACATAGGGTTAGGGTAACCAGGAAATCTTTGAAATGCTTTACAAAACACCCACAACTATCTTACAACGATCATCAATACACAATTTATATAGAACATGCAAAACAACCGTATTATTTGCTACCAACAATGGTACCAAGTGTAAATACTGTCATTTTCTGAATGAATTTCTTTGGATGGGTCATTACTGTATTTTGGGACAATCCTGCATGTCAGCTATAATGTGTAATAATAATAAGTAAACAGAGTGCATGCATTGCATAGACTCACTTAAAACATTGAATCCCTTTAATATTTAAAAAGTCACATTAGTCTTGTCCTTGTTTTCTTACATCATTCTTCCCTCTGACTGCAATGCTGACACTGCACATAGTGTTCTTTGGTTTGAGAAAATGAAGGGTTTGGACAGGTTTTACATGGATATATCAAATGAATAGTATAAAGTATAGTATGATAAATGCAAGGTGTTATGTTCATTGAAACACAAAACGAGGACAATTGACAAGTGTGGGACATTCAAATACTACACAACATTGCATTGATAATCTAATAAAAATTAACAATACCTTGTGCATATTGCATAGAAAGCGATTTTGCAAATTAACTAAAAAATAGCCTTTTCTAATCATTTGTATAAATAAACAAAATCACATTCAATCCACATTACACTACTGTTAAACACACATTAGTACTTATTCATCATACAAAATCAAACCTTGTACATAATGTATGTCTTAAAACGTTAGATACATACCAATTACATGTCCCAGCTTCACTGTAATCAAATGACATAACATTACTACCACTTGCCAAACCCCAGTGTCCAGTCCATGAGGGTGACAGTAAGCTACTACACAAAGCCTGTATTATTGCCAAATATGACTAAACTAAAACATGGTGCAAACATTGGCATTGGGCTTGTTTATAACACGTACTATTACAAGTCTTACCTTCCAAGAGGCGTTGAATTATGGAGTCGATGTTTAATTTGTCCGGCTCCGCCATTTTCTGTTTATATCGTTCTGTGGCAGTCAGGACCTTCCGTGTTGCAGCTAAAATGACAAGTACATAAAACATAAGGCAATCGCTTCATTTGCCCTTTGGACTCGGTTAGAGAAATGCCAGCACCGTTTTCTGTACCGCCCTACATCACGGAGGAAAGCTAGCTCCGATCCAATCAATCAATACGCTTAAAAGCTAACATGTAGCTAGCGTTAGCCTGGGTTAGCATACGTTAGCGTCGGTGGCTAATACGCTATTATAAACAAGATAGACGCGTCAAAATGAGCATCTCCTAACCTTGATGTTTCGTAGATCTTCTTGTGAATGCTAAAACATGAATATTTGTAAAGCAGGTACAGTTTAAACCCCGCTCTCCTCGCCTTGTCCGGGTTCACTGTACCTTCCCCCAGGAACTTTAAAAAAAGCTTGATTCAGATGAAGCGACTACGGCCACAGCGGGGGCGGGACCAACAGCCTGCGTCATAGTAACGCCGAAGCTGATTGGTCGGCTGTAGAATATGGACGTTGGTTGAATATTCTGATTGGTCTGTATCCGCGTCTGTTATGACCGTGGGCCACCGCCTCCAGTCGCTCAGAACCAACCGTGTCAATGAAGATTCAAACCACAGAGGACGTGTGTAGGGCGCCATCGTGCGGCCGTAGTTAAGAATGCAAGAGTGCATTTATGGGTTTCAGGAGATTACTAGGGACCGTTTTCTTCTGATTAATCCGTTGCCGGGTCGTGGAGGGTTAGGGTTAGGTCTTCAGCCTCTGCCTCCGTGACGGGGGGATTGAGGAGAACCTCGAAGTATTCCTTCCACCGCCGAACAATATCCCCAGTCGAGGTCAGCACCTCTCCACCGCACCATACACGGTGTTGGCAAAGAACTGCTTCCCCTTCCTGAGGCGCCGGACGGTTTGCCAGAATCTCTTCGAGGCAGACCGATAGTCATGCTCCATGGACTCTCCGAACTCCTCCCAGTCCCAGGTTTTTGCCTCTTCAACAGGCCGGGCAGCGGCACGCTTGGCCTGCCGGTACTGGACAGCTGCCTGAGGAGTCCCCCGAACCATCATGGCTCAATAGGATTCCTTCTACTTCTGCTACCGGTGTCCACCACCGGGTTCTGCTGCCGCCGGGACCAGCACCAGAGACCTTGCAACCACAGGAGACCTGGAGATCACGAATTTCCACCATCTCTATTCTTGGTCCCAGTTCACTTGGCTTACCTGAATTCTGGGACTGTATCTTAGTAATCTGCCCATCAGCTCCGTGGCCAATGAGTCAGTTATAACTGTTAAAGCTGAGGTACGTAGCTTTCAAACCACAAAGAAATGTCTCCAAAATCCATCAAAGTGGTCCCTATAAAGCACATCTTATCTTATCTCGGGAGCAAAACAGTGGTTCAGTCACCCCAGAGCAGAGTGGGAAGAGTAGTGGAGAATGAGTAGAGTGGAGTAGAAATAGTAGAATAGAGTAGAGTAGAGTAGAGTAGAGTAGAGTAGAGTAGAGTACGGTAGAGTAGAGAAGAGTACGGTAGAGTAGGGTAGAGTAGAGAAGAGTACGGTAGAGTAGAGTAGAGTATGGTAGAGTAGAGTAGAGTAGAGTACGGTAGAGTAGAGTTGAGAAGAGTACGGTAGAGTAGAATAGAGTAGAGTAGAGTAGAGTACGGTAGGGTAGAGTAGAGTAGAGTACGGTAGAGTAGAGTAGAGTAGAGTACGGTAGAGTAGAGTAGAGTAAGGCAAGGCAAGTTTATTTATATAGCACAATTCATACACAAGGCAATTCCAATCCAATCCACTTTATTTATATAGCATATTTAAACAACAGTTACGTTTCCAAAGTGCTGCACAAAAAAGTATAAAATAAATAACAACTTATCCTTAGCTTCACCAAGTATAAAAGAATAAAAATATATAAAACAGATTAAAACCATAAATAGAAATAAAATAAAAATACAGAGGACCACACAACTCACGCAGTGTTAGAAGCCAAAGAGTAAAAGTGGGTCTTAAGACGAGACTTAAAACACTCTACTGTGTGTTCAAAGTGCTGAACAAAATAAGAAAGCATTAAAGTAGTACTAGAATATAATATACTGCTATCCAGAATATATAACTACAATATGTGTTTATAATATTTCGGGTGTTCATTTTGACATGTTTAGATGAATTATGTTAAAAAAACGTTTTTGAAGTGGCACCTTTTCACTTCCGCATAGAAACGCTAGGGGGCGCCAAAATCGCGGCGATGACGTAGGAGAAGGACCTCTCACAGCAGCAGCAGCAGTCTGGGCTGAATCTGTAGGAGGTTTCACTGTCATCTGAACAAGGTATAAACATATTTTCATCCGTTTTGTACATAATAGTGCGCAACTCTTTTAACCTTTTAGCCTTATTTGTGAGATTCAAGCTAATTAGTGTTGGGCAAGTTAGCTAACTCTACTTGATATCATAAAACATGCTAACAAGGCTAATATTCGTTTTTACATTATGCCAGTCTCACTTTGCCTTAGATTTATTTACCACAATGTACATTGTAATATTCAAAAATGCTAACACCTATTAACGGTTTAATTAGCATTTTTATCAATGATTGCATCACATGTAGTCTATGTTTTCAACTTCTGCAGCTTTTTGTTCATAAAAGTAAAATATTTATTTAATTCAAGTTATTTTGATTAGCATTTATGGATATTACAATGTACATTGTGGTAAATAAATCTAAGGCAAAGTGAGACTGGCATAATGTAAACACAAATATTAGCCTTGTTAGCATTTTTTGGGTTAGCATTTTTTGGGTTAGGGTTAGGGTTGTTTTATGATATCAAGTAGAGTTAGCTAACTTGCCCAACACTAATTAGCTTGAATCTCACAAATAAGGCTAAAAGGTTAAAAGAGTTGCACACTATTATGTACAAAACGGATGAAAATATATTTATACCTTGTTCAGATGACAGTGAAACCTCCTACAGATTCAGCCCAGACTGCTGCTGCTGCTGTGAGAGGTCCTTCTCCTACGTCATCGCCGCCATTTTGGCGCCCCCTAGCGTTTGTGAAAAGGTCCGACTTCAAAGCTGTTTTTTTAACATAATTCATCTGAACATATCAAAATGAACACCTGAACTATTATAAACACATATTGTAGTTATATATTCTGGATAGCAGCATATTAAATTCTAGTACTACTTTAAGCATTCTATTCTCTGAATATTCTATTCTCTGAGCCACAGGAAGCCAGTGCAGAGACCTGAGAACTGGACTAATGTGGTCGTACTTCCTGGTTCTAGTCAGGACTAATGTGGTCGTACTTCCTGGTTCTAGTCAGGACTAATGTGGTCGTACTTCCTGGTTCTAGTCAGGACTAATATGGTCGTACTTCCTGGTTCTAGTCAGGACTAATGTGGTCGTACTTCCTGGTTCTAGTCAGGACTAATGTGGTCATACTTCCTGGTTCTAGTCAGGACTAATATGGTCGTACTTCCTGGTTCTAGTCAGGACTAATATGGTCGTACTTCCTGGTTCTAGTCAGGATTGGAGCTGCTGCATGTTGAATGTACTGCAGCTGTTTTACAGCCTGTTTGGACAGACCTGTGAGCAGGCCATTGCAGTAGTCTAACCTACTGGAGACAAATGCATGGATAAGAATCTCCAAGTCTGCTTTAGACACTATGTTTTTGATCCTGGCAATGTTTTTTAGATGGTAAAAAGCTGCTGATGTTACTGATTTGATGTGGCTATTAAAATGTAAGTCTGAGTCCAGTATTACCCCTAGATTTCTGACCTTGTTTGAAGGTTTTAGGGAGAGAGACTGTAGGTGACAGATGACGCTCTCTCTTTGTTTCTGGGGACCAAAGACAATCATTTCAGTTTTGTCTGCGTTTAGCTGAAGGAAGTTGTTTTGCATCCACTCACTGATCTGTTGGATACAGTGAAGGAGTGAGTCCACTGGTCCATGTTCTCCTGCAGTCAGTGAGACATAGATCTGAGTGTCGTCTGCATAGTTGTGATAGGACACTTTGTTTCTGCGTATTAACTGACCTAACGGCAGCATGTAGAGATTGAACAGAAGAGGTCCCAGGATCGACCCCTGTGGTACTCCACAGGTCAGGGCCATATGATCTGAGACACAGTTTCCAATCTCCACAAAGTACTTCCTGTCCTCAAGGTAAGACCTAAACCAACTTAGGGCGGTGCCAGCGACTCCAACCCAGTCCTCTAGTCTCTGTAAGAGGATCTCATGGTCGACAGTGTCAAAGTCAGCACTCTTTGCCTGCCAGATTGAGACTTTGCCTGCGTCAGTGTTCAGCCGGGTATCGTTTGTAACCTTAACGAGAGCAGTCTCAGTGCTGTGGTGGGGTCTAAAGCCGGACTGAAACATATCAAATGAGTTATTATAATAAATCTAGTAAGCTGTAGGTAGACAACTTTCTCAAGGACATTCCCCATAAATGGCAGATTTGAGATGGGACGATAGTTGTTAAGTACCGTAGCATCCAGACTGCTCTTTTTTAACAGGGGCCTGATGACTGCAGTTTTCAGGGCCTTTGGGAATATTCCAGAATGAAGGGACGTGTTTACTATCTGTGTGAGTGAAGGTAACAGACTGCTCAGAACATCCATCCATCCATTTTCTTCCGCTTCATCCGTTGCCGGGTCGCGGGGGCAGCAGTCTAAGCAGAGACGCCCAGACTTCCCTATCCACACACACCTCCTCCAGCTCGTCCGGGGGGACCCCAAGGCGTTCCCAGGCCAGCTGAGAGACATAGTCCCTCTGTGTCCTGGGTCTTCCCCGTGGCCTCCTCCCGGTGGGACGTGCCTGGAACACCTCCCCAGGGAGGCGTCCAGGAGGCATCCGGAACAGATGCCCGAGCCACCTCAACTGGTTCCTCTCGACGTAGAGTAGCAGCGGCTCTACTCCGAGCTCCTCCCGTGTGACTGAGCTCCTCACCCTATCTCTAAGGGAGCAGCCACTCTGCGGAGGAAGCTCATTTCGACCGCTTGTATCCGCGATCTCGTTCTTTCGGTCATTACCCAAAGCTCATGACCATAGGTGAGGGAGGGGACGAAGATTGACCGGTAAATCGAGAGCTTTGCCTTTCGGCTCAGCTCCCTCTTTACCACAACGGTCCGATACAGCTCTGACTGCAGACGCTGCTCCCTCTTTACCACAACGGTCCGATACAGCGACCGCATCACTGCGCACGCTGCACCGATCCGCCTGTCAATCTCTCGCGCTCTATCCCTCCCTCACTTTTGAACAAGACCCCGAGATACTTGAACTCCTCCACTTGAGGAAGGACCTCTCCACCCACCCGGAGAGGGTAAGGCACCCTTTTCCGGTCGAGTACCATGGCCTCAGATTTGGAGGTGCTGATTCTCATCCCAGCCGCTTCACACTCGGCTGCAAACCCGCCCAGTGCATGCTGCAGGTCCTGGTTCGTTGGAGCCAACAGGACAACATCGTCCGCAAACAGCAGAGATGAAATCCTGTGGTCACCAAACCGGACCCCCTCCGGCCCCTGGCTGCGCCTAGAAATTCTGTCCATGAATACAGTGAACAGAACCGGTGACAAAGGGCAGCCCTGGTGGAGGCCAACATGCACCGGGAACAGGTCCGACTTACTGCCGGCAATGCGAACACAGCTCTGACTCCGGTCAGAACGCGTTCTCCAAATCCACAAAGCACATGTGGACAGGTTGGGCGAACTCCCATGAACCCTCGAGTATCCGATGGAGAGTATAGAGCTGGTCCAGTGTTCCACGGCTGGGACGAAAACCACACTGCTCCTCCTGAATCCGAGATTCGACCAACGGCCGTAGCCTCCTCTCCAGTACCTTGGAGTAGACCTTACCGGGGAGGCTGAGGAGTATGATCCCACGATAATTGGAACACACCCTCCGGTCCCCCTTCTTGTAGAGAGGGACCACCACCCCGGTCTGCCACTCCATTGGCACCGCCCCCGATCGCCACGCGAAGTTGCAGAGATGTGTCAGCCAAGACAGTCCCACAACATCCAGAGAATTTAAATAGTCAGGACGGATCTCATCCACTCCCGGCGCCCTGCCACCATGGAGGCTGCCAACCACCTTGGTGACCATCCGCCCCAACATCCTCAGCCTCTGTCCCTGGGGCGTAGGACGTGACTGGGGGATTGAGGAGAACCTCAAAGTATTCCTTCCACCGTCCAACACTTTGGGAGTCTGTCACGCGCAGACCGTTTGACTAATTCAAATTCTATATTCAACTATTGATGGTCCATGTGCTGAGATGATGTGGAGCGATTTTCAACCAAATTAGTGAAACGGCCGCGGCTGGTTTGATGTTTGAGCAAGGTGTACTTTTCAGAGATTTAACAATTTTCCCATAAACCCAGACAGGGGAGTGTTGGTCGTCGCCACGGCAACAGGGTAAAAAAATAACCATATGTTAGCATTGACTTTTTGAATCCAGATAAGAAAACAGAATTATGTGCAAAATTTCAAACATTTTGAAAAAACTAAATTTTATTAGGCCCATGTAAATCTTTGACATAGTCTGTAGGGGGCGCTAATGAGCCAATTTCAATATTTCAACTTTCAAATGACCTGGACCCTGGAGCTGAAAAATGGATTAAAATTTTGTGCAAATCAGGCTTTGTTTGTGCAAACGGGAGCAAATTTACTTTTGCCGCTCCGCTGCTCGGACAAAGTTGAACTGATCCAAATTCTGTATTCAATAATTGATGGTACATGTGTTTAGACCATGTGGAGTGATTTTGAGACAAATCGGTGAAACGGCCGAGGAGGAGATGTTTTCCAACCGAAATGTGTGAAAAAGATCAATTTTCATTTTTACATTTCCCATTGAAATTAATGAGCTTCCTGTTTGTCAGGGGGCGGAGCCATAATAACTTTTTTTTCATTTTTTGACCTGAGGAACATGTGTACCAAATTTCGTGGCTCTACGACAAACTTGACCTCCGACCCGCTCCCATAGGCGCAATGTAAACTGACTTTTGTAGGGGGCGCTTTTCTTGCAGTTTTTTAGTCCCATAAAAATAAACACCAAAAAAAAATATTTTTCGCCGGTTTTGAATTTTGGCCAAAATTTCACAACTTTTCATCAATGTTCAGGGGGTCAAATTAAGGTTCAAAGGGCAGAAGAAAAAAGAAAGAAATAAACCAAACCAAACCAAGGAATATTTTTCCCCTCGCCATCATGATGTCACCCACCCCCCCCATGGGACCCCATTTATTACACTGTGTACTACAGCAGGAGCAAAGCCATGGAACGAGGGGGAAGTGGGGGTGGAATGGTCATGAGGTAAGGGGAGGGACTGGCTGAGGTGGTTTTTGTAGGTGAATTGGAAACCCTAGGTGGTTTTGGAGGTACATATGGGGAGTGGTTTTGAATGTTGGACAGGACTCTAGATCGAGCTAATATGGGTGTGAGAGGAATAGTCTTCATCGCCGATTTTATTACCCCTGCAGAGTGTTCAGGTAGGTCTAACAGAGTAGAGTAGAGTAGACTACGGTAGAGTAGAGTAGAGTAGAGTAGAGTAGATGTGGAAAATTCATTCTGTCTTCTTATGTTTACGGCTTTTTAAGTTCTTCTAATAAGACAATTAAAGCAAAATTTAAGCAGTACTAGTTTTTTTTGCTTTAATTGTCTTATTAGAAGAACTTAAAAAGCCAAAATAGAGTAGAGTAGGGTAGAGTAGAGTAGAGTAGAGTATGGTAGAGTAGAGTAGAATAGGGTAGGGTAGAGTAGAGTACGGTAAAGTAGAGTACGGTAGAGTAGAGTAGAGTAGAGTACGGTAGAGTAGGGTAGAGTAGAGAAGAGTACGGTAGAGTAGAGTAGAGTAGAGTAGAGTACGGTAGAGTAGGGTAGAGTAGAGTAGAGTACGGTAGAGTAGGGTAGGGTAGAGTAGAGGAGAGTAGAGTACGGTAGAGTAGGGTAGAGTAGAGTAGAGTACGGTAGAGTAGAGTAGAGTAGAGTACGGTAGAGTAGGGTAGAGTAGAGTAGAGTAGAGTCAGTGGAAACAGCGCTTCAGAGATCAGTTGTTTCTTTACAGTTCTCAACCTTTTCTCTTCTTGCTTTGGTTTGAAATGAGTGATAAAAGAGTAACACACACTTAAAACAGTGTGAGTTGCTTGGAAACGACACACACCTATGTCAGGATGGAATCTGTGCGTTTTCCATGGAGTTGGTGTTTGGACTGAACCACCGCAGACTCAGATGAGGGTGTGTGGACCATGGAGATGGACTGAACCACCGCAGACTCAGATGAGGGTGTGTGGACCATTGAGATGGACTGAACCACCGCAGACTCAGCTGAGGGTGTGTGGACCATGGAGATGGACTGAACCACCGCAGACTCAGCTGAGGGTGTGTGGACCATGGAGATGGACTGAACCACCGCAGACTCAGATGAGGGTGTGTGGACCATTGAGATGGACTGAACCACCGCAGACTCAGCTAAGGGTGTGTGGACCATGGAGATGGACTGAACCACCGCAGACTCAGCTGAGGGTGTGTGGACCATGGAGATGGACTGAACCACCGCAGACTCAGCTGAGGGTGTGTGGACCATGGAGATGGACTGAACCACCGCAGACTCAGCTGAGGGTGTGTGGACCATGGAGATGGACTGAACCACCGCAGACTCAGATGAGGGTGTGTGGACCATGGAGATGGAGTGAACCACATTTATATCTTCATAGCCTGTCCGTCCGGAGGAGCGGATCCCTTTCTCAAATGGGTCTCCCTCCCTGTGGGTTTCCCTAGTTCTCCTCCAAGGTTTCTCACTTTTTCCCACTGGGTTTTTTAAGAGTTTTTCCTTGTGGATGCAGGAGGGTCTTGTTGGACAGTTAGTGTCCAACAGAAAGGATTGGTGATGATCAGGACACTTTAGCATTCTACAACATGTATGGACATTTTCTTCTGTGTGTGCTTTATATTCTTCATGTGTTTTAACTGTTGATTCTCTGACCTGTGTTGGTGATTTCAATGGTTTTGTTAAGTCTCTGAGATGACTTCTGTTGTGACCTAGGGCTATACAAGAATAAATTGTATTGTATTGTTTTGTATTGTATTGTATTTTATCTTAAAGGAGCAGTATTTAAAAATGTGGCCAAACGTGGTACTACACTCTCAGATTGCCAGATATGCGGACAAATCCAACTGGGACCAAAATATCTGAATAAAAAGTTTTGTCAACAATCTATAACCAACACCTTTTTCACAAAATGTTTAAATCCTAATTGTAACCTGCGCTGGATTGCGTCACATTGCGAAATGAAATGAAATGAAAATGAACAAAAAAACTGTTTGCACATTTCCTGTCCATATGCAGAGCCATCTTATCGAAGCCAAATGGAACATGTGCATTTCTCCATAAAGTTTTTTTCTAATTCCATCTCAGTTCACTTTCAATGAGTCGATCAAATTAAACGGACTCAGACCGAATCAAACCGAATCAAACTGACTCTTTCTGACTCTTTCATTTTCAAACAGACTTCTGAAGGTTCACCTGTCTTCTGTTTAAACTAAACTATTGGTGCCACCTGCAGGTGAAAGCCTGATCCTGGCAGAGCTCATAGGCTAAGCAGGACAGCTTCTGGTGTGATGGGAGACCTCTGGGAGCAGCATGTGCCAAACTGTGGTTGTGTCATTAGGCAAGATACTTCCGCCACACTAGAATGAGTCTGGTGTGTGTGTGAATGGCTGGTGGTTGCCTCACTTCTGTCAGTGTGCCCCAGGGCAGCGGTGGCTACAGTAGTAGTTTATCACCGTCGTGTTTGGAGTGAATAAAGCCAGAGAGAGTCCAAAAAACAGTAAATAAAACCAAATCTATTATTGTCATCATTATAAGAACAATCTGAAGTTACAGTCGGACTGATTCTTAATCATCAACAAAACAGGAAACTCAACTAAAACGGATTATCAAAAAAATGTTTTTGAGCCATTCCTCGTAAAGACCAGTGTTTTCTTTTGCTAATCTAAATTTAACTCTGTTCAAAGTAATTAGTTTGTTTCAATCACAAGTTTGGGCAAAAATAGACCATACTCTTTATTACAATACAATACAATACAATTTATTCTTGTATAGCCCTAGGTCACAACAGAAGTCATCTCAGAGACTTAACAAAACCATTGAAATCACCAACACAGGTCAGAGAATCAACAGTTAAAACACATGAAGAATATAAAGCATACACAGAAGAAAATGTCCATACATGTTGTAGAATGCTAAAGTGTCCTGATCATCACCAATCCTTTCTGTTGGACACTAACTGTCCAACAAGACCCTCCTGCATCCACAAGGAACAACTCTTAAAAACCCCAGTGGGAAAAAGTGAGAAACCTTTTTTGAAATTACGTTTCACAATTGTCAATTTCACCACAACAAACATGTCTCACTTCCCAAAATGACTCCATCATTGTCTGTGGTTTCGACACAGACGTCACTGAGGCCCACGGAGGGGGTCAGGGGGAGGGGGGGGTGCGTCCCAATGGGATGATTATGAGTCAGGAGCTCATCCAAAACTAAAACCCAAATATTGCAAAAGAAAGAATAGATAAACTTTGTATAGACCCAGAAATGAGGCTGTAGACCCAGGACTAAGGGGTCTACAGGGGTTAAGTGTCTTGCCCAGGGACTCAAAGATAGCAGACATCAGTGGGAGCGAGTGACATGGGTCGTGTTGGGAACGAACCCAAAGAGAAATGAGCTCTGGCTGAGAAAGAGGAGGTGGTCGGAGCTATAGCTTTATTCTCACTAACATTTAGCACAAAACAAACAGTTAATTTTGGAATTAGACGTCTCTCTGTGCAAATTCTTTACCACAAGAATCAAAAAGAGTTTATTGAATTCAAGCGTAAACTCCTCAATCATGGAGCCTTCTGTCTGAGATCTTTAGACGCACAAGTAAAGGGGAAACTCAGGAATTGGACAAGTCCAGTCTGGTCTGGGTCGGAGATGGTCCCGCCCTGAGCCCTCACATTCCTCTTCAAATACCCTCACGACGTCCCGGACGCCCCATTTCAGGAGAGCGTCCCAGAGCGTCCCAGGGAGAGAGAGCATCCCAGAGAGAGCGACCCAGAGAGAGCGTCCCAGAGAGAGCGTCCCAGAGAGAGCGTCCCAGCAGAAGGAACACGCCGAGTTTTGACCTTTGTGAATCCAGAAACAACAGAAACCAGGTAAAACAACTCTATTTGAATGAACATAGATGTATCGATGCTGTAGAAACCCACGGCTTTGAAATGGGAAAATCACAAACAAAATATACAATTATTCCATCATCGATCCGTTTTTTTATAGAATTATACATTTGCAGACACAGCATTAGCATCTGAGTTTGAAGACTATTTTATGATGAACGCATTTAAATAGAAAATTACAACATTATTATTACAGTTATTTTTGGAGATGGAACAGAACGCACCAAGAGATTTTTAGCTCATTTACAAATAAATACAATATTTTTTCAATAACTTATTTACTTTTTGGCGTTGTTGATCTTTATATAAACATATAATACATATATATTAAAAAAAATAGAAAGAGAAAAATATTACGTTTGAACCAACTTTACGATGTCCCTTGCATCATTAGAAAACCATAAAACACATATTAGAACAAACTATTACAAAAACATCTTAAAGGACAAACTATACACACACAATATTATTTCATTATTTATAACAGTTTTATTGACAAAACTGTTAAGCCCCGCCTCTTTGCGCTTGTATGTCACAGCCGCAGCTCCTCATGGTTAAAACCTAAAATCCTAAAACTGAAATAAAACATTTGCTCAATTTCATAAAACAAGTTGAATTGAGAAGAATGCACTTTACTCACTACTTTGTTTTTTTTTTTTTTTTTTTTTTTTTTTTTGAGCCGTTTACATTTTAACATTCACATTTACATCATTCTATTAGAGGCGCTCCCAAAAAGAAAAGGAGTAGACTTTACTGTAAAAATGGGAGAGGGAGCAGCTGGTTCTTGGCGGGAACTTGTCCAAACTCTCAATTCGTTTTTATTCAGAAAATATAAAATACTACAGTATCTGTCAGTGGGAAAACCTGCAGCTGCCAGGCCTCTCCACAAACACATCGGTCTGTTTGTAAATGTAATTTCTGACTTGATTCTTCCACAAATGGACATAAAACTTGTGATAACACTTTTACTATTACTACTACTACTTATCAGAAGATTTACAAGACAACCTTTAATCAAAGCTGGGATACTTAATCTTTAGTATGTGTAAAAACTTTATTTTTGGTCCCAATAAAACTAGTGATAGAACCAAACTGTTTTGAGGACAACAAAACTCGGATGGTTGTGGTTCGGGGACCCCAGCTTTAGTTGTACTTATTGGAAATGAGACTTCTTTCAGTCAGTGTTAAACATCGGCGGCGGGATCGCGGTGTAAAAGGTGTGACATGTGGTGGTCGCGTCCTGGTTCTGGGCCTGTCCCGACACGGTCCTGTATAATACATATCCTGAAGATAGTGATCCTGTCGGGGCCGGTCGGGGCCTGTCTGAGGGCGTCACGCACCCAGAAGGTATGCATTCTACAGGAACAAAAGCTACCAGGGTTTACAGCTTCGAGATGTGGAAAATGTAGCCGGGATTATAAAGATTTACATCCATTTCGAAATATATTTAATGAGCCATGCTATTGTTGGGAAAGCATCAACACAGCAGAAAATATGGCTGTACTGAAAGAGAGATGCATTGACAATTTTTGCTTTTCTTCATAAATTTGGGCGGAGTCTTTTTGTAGCACAGACTTTGTCCTTGTTGATTCTTGTACAAAATGTTCTTGCGGCTTTCAGACTCTCGTTATGCACTTTCAAAAGTGTTTTCTGTTGTAACTACCACAATGTTATCAAGGAGTTGGTGGTGAAAAATGCCTATATTCACAGGGTTACTTGCAATTCAAATTAGACATGTTTTTCATTAATCTTTTGTTAAAGAAACAATAGACCACTGTGTGATGTATTCATATTTGTATAATTCCATTTCCTTGGCGACGCAGAAACAAGGCCCCCATTGGCTGCTGAAACATGTTTTTTGGACTGATCAGGTCTAAAGTGACCAGTTCTAAGGCTTGTCCTCTGCTGTGACCAGGTCTAGGGCGTGTCCTCTGCTGGGACCAGGTCTAGGGTGTGTCCTCTGCTGGGACCAGGTCTAGGGTGTGTCCTCTGCTGGGACCAGGTCTAGGGTGTGTCCTCTGCTGGGACCAGGTCTAGGGTGTGTTCTCTGTTGTGACCAGGTCTAGAGTGTGTTCTCTGTTGTGACCAGGTCTAGAGTGTTGTGAGTGTGTAATGTAAAAGGATGTACAGATTTGTATGTCCAATTTGGCTCCACTCTAAAAATCACAGTTGAAAAGCATGATAAACATCTACGTGTAAACAGGTAGATATACAGCACATGAACAGCAATATGCTCTTTAGTAAAATACAAAACATTTACTCATAAGCACAATAACAAAATTCTATATCATGAGTGAAGTGTCTGTCATAAAAGTTTCTCAGAGGAGGCCCATTCAGGAGCTCTTTAGATGTAAATGTGCCGACAGTGATTCTCAAACCCCCGTAGGCCCCAGGTTAGATAACAACAAGGATAAAAGCGATAGCACACAGCATACACTAAAGATTAAATCGCAAGATCAAGGCCTGTAATTCATCTTTTTAATGCACTGAGATTGTTTATGATTTTAGTGCCTTGTGTGATTTTAAGGTTTCTTTTCTTGTTTTGTTCAGCACTTTGAGTGGTTTATGAACTGTGCTACGCATATAAACTTGCTTCGTATGGAAGTTATCATTTAGGATGAATCAAAAAGAGATCCATATTTAGAATAACGTGTTTCTTATTCAAGCATTTCCAAGATTCGCTTTTCAAATGTGGCCCTAAACCATTCATTTTTCATATAGATTTTTTCTTGTTTGCTAATTTGTTGTGGTGTGAAAGTTAGGTACCCCAGCTTTAACTCGTTTCCCTCTTGTTTCAGGATGGGATCCGTCGGAGTGCAGATCGTGTGCGTTGCTCTGGGAGTCCTTGGTCTCATCGGGGTCATTGTGTGCTGTGCCATGCCGCGCTGGACCATGTCGTCCTTTGTGGGCTCCAACATCGTCACGGCACAAGTGAGTCACAGAACCATCGTTACCACGGATACGCTGCCTGTAACTACGTATCCCTGTTACCACGGTTACTCTGCCTATAACCACGTATCACTGTCACCACGGTTACGCTGCCTTTAACCACATATCACTGTTAGCACGGTTACTCTGCCTGTAACCACGTATCACTGTCACCACGGATACGCTGCCTGTAACCACGTATCCCTGTTACCACGGTTACTCTGCCTATAACCACGTATCACTGTCACCACGGTTACGCTGCCTTTAACCACATATCACTGTTACCACGGTTACTCTGCCTGTAACCACATATCACTGTTACCATGGTTACGCTGCCTGTAACTACGTGAACTATAGACAATGTAGACTATACAACATCTGTCTGGGAACTTTATATAATTATGTACAATAAAAAAGTGGAACCGCAGCCAACCATAGTATACTGTACATGACAATATCAGTGCTTGTTTATTGTATGATTGCAATTTTATTAACAATTTCTGTTCCAAAGTTTGAGATCCGAGGCAAAGATAGAAGACCATTTGAAAGTCTCACATTTGTGTTGGGGTTGGCTTAGAGACAGGACTTTAAAGTGGTCAGAGCGGTTTGGGAATATGTTTTTTTAGCGCATATATCTGTATTCTTACCGTTTTAAAGCCTCCTCTCTGCTCCCGTCGCAGACCACGTACAAAGGCCTGTGGATGGAGTGTGTGATGCAGAGCACAGGGCAGCAGCAGTGTAAGAACTACGACTCCCTCCTGGAGCTGGCCTCTGACCTCCAGGCCGCCCGAGCCATGATCATCATCAGCGCCATGATCAGCTGCCTGGCGCTGCTCGTGCTCTTCTGCGGCGCCGACTTCACCACCTGCGTGGAGAACGAAGACGTCAAACCCAAGCTCAGCCTGGTGTCTGGGATCGGGCTGATCATCGCCGGGCTGATGGTCATCATCCCCGCCAGCTGGTCGGCCCATAACGTGGTCAGGGCCTTCAACGATCCGATGCACGGGGCGCAGAAGATGGAGCTGGGGCCGTGCATCTTCATCGGGTGGGGCGCGGGGGTCCTGCTCCTCATTGCCGGCGGGCTTCTGTGCTGCTTCAGCCGAGCCAACAGCACCTCCGGAGGCACGGCCAAGTACTACAGCAACTCGTCCGCCTCCGCTCCCAAAAACTACGTGTAAAGAACAATTGTGGTGTTCGAAATGTTTGGGAGAGTTTGAAATACTTAAAAGTACTTCTGTTTATACTGTCTAATTATTTTACATTGACTCGAGCAGCTTTTTGAATTGAGGTTTTCCAACTAAAATGCTAAGTTCATAAAATATATTGGTGGAATTGAGTTACACAAAATGAAAATGTTTTAGTTGTAGAAGATATTGTTGAGTCAACTAAAATGACTGAAAATAATAATGGTATATATTTTATTTGGTACCAGTCCCATTGTATTCTATTGAGTTGGGCTAGTACTTTATCAAGTATTTTTATCTTGTAACAAAAGAAAAAGGTGGTTATCGCTGCAGGAGTCCACTTTGTACATAAAACTAATATTTCACAACTGCTTTAAACGTCTCAGACGGTCTGGACCACACTGTAATTCAGGTGTTTAGTCATGATCATAGACTGAGTGCTACATTTTTGTGGCCTTTTATGTGTTTGCAACATAACCCAAACCCTTCCTTTGTCATAATCCAAACAGTTATAATTTAACTGTTATAATCCTGACAGTTATAATTTAACTGTTATAATTCTGACAATTATAATTGAACTGTTATAATCCTGACAGTTATTATAACTTAATTGTTATAATCCTGAGAGCACAGTCCATGTGAACAAACACCCAATTACTTTTTATGTAAATATTCAACATTCTTAATTCATTCTTATGTTTAACTTTTATTTCTCTTTGGTTAAGTGTGTATTGGCATTTGCATGTACGGCACTCATGAAAAACATGATTTTTATTTTTATTTCATGAATATTTAAACAAAATGGGCAGTTTTGGGGGAAGTAAGTTGCACTGGTTTATTACATGTTAATTTTGTACATCTGAACCATCTAACACAATATAATAGTTGCTAAGTGTAGTCTAGTCAAGTGTTTAAGAATAAATGCTTTTATTGTTATATATCATTGTAGTTTTTTCACTGTTTTGACTAGCGGGACCTCAGCCCCCCGGGAGCATTGAACATATTCACCCACATTGTAAAAGCATTTATGACTGTTTTGTTAAGACATGGAAAACTATATAAAATGTGTAATCTGAAAATCTCCTGTTGTCTGTGTCTGTATGAAAGTGGCGCCCCCTGCTGTCCGATATCAGCTAATGACATCAGCAATCTTAACTCTTCAAAAAAAAGCTATTCGTATTGTATCAAATGTCCATTATAGATATCATTCAAACCCACTGTTCATAGAGTTAGGAGAACTTAAAGGATGTGATTACATTTAAAACTGCTCAAATAGTGTTCCGGGCATCTGTAAACTCTCTGCCATCTAAGTTACAGAACCTTTTCCACGATCGAGATGCTCATCATAATTATAGACTCAGAGGCAGTAAAAAAGTGTATGTGCCTAAATGTAGGACTACTTTGAAATCAATGTGTATCTCAGTGCGTGGAGCCGCTGTTTGGAAGGATTTATCAGATGAATTAAAGACCTGCTCAAACCTGATCACATTTAAAAGAATGTTTAAAAAAGATTTATTGAACAAATATGTGGAAGTAAGAGAGTACTGAGCAAGTAGTGGGTGAGAGGTGTAGGGTCGGAGTGTGTTTGGGCCTGTGTGTGTGTGTGTTCAGTGTTGTCTGTCTTATACCATCGGTGGTAGTATTGTATAACTGTTTGTAATGTACCGCTGTATTTTCAAGAATTCTACTGCATGATATTGTTAAACACTTTGTCTGATGGGGTTGGAACCCAATAAGCATTTGCTTCATCCAACTCCTTTTCGAACCAGGTACGGGTTATTTGTCTGCTATATTGATATATGTAAAAATGTGTATTGTGTATGGTTCGAAATAAATAAAATAACTAACTTTTTAAAGGGGCTATAACGTGCAAAAACCTCTCTCACCTGCACCGGTGGACCGGTCTTCCCAAACCCGGACTCGTAGGCTGCACCTGTGGACCGGTCTTCCCAAACCCAGACTCGTGGGCTGCACCTGTGGACCGGTCTTCCCAAACCCGGACTCGTAGGCTGCACCTGTGGACCGGTCTTCCCAAACCCAGACTCGTAGGCTGCACCTGTGGACCGGTCTTCCCAAACCCAGACTCGTGGGCTGCACCTGTGGACCGGTCTTCCCAAACCCAGACTCGTGGGCTGCACCTGTGGACCGGTCTTCCCAAACCCGGCCCCGCCTGGAAGAGCTCAGAGCGGCACGGGAGGACTGAATGTGAAAGACCCATTTATTTTATTTTTTGTGACAATGGACAATGAAAATCAAGACAATCACACAGAAACACAAGCACAACAAACACAAACAAAAGACACACAATAAAAAAACAAACAAAAACACCAGACAAACAAACCATTTTTCACTTTTCTAATAATCAGAATATCCAACCATAAAACATCAGAATTCGTGCTAAACTTTTTTGGTGCTTTTCTTTTTCTGTTGCGACTGAACGTTCTTCTAAAAATCTCTTAAAACAGTATTTCAGATCCAGTGAGAGGAGCCACAGATGTCGTCAATCAATCTTTATTTGAGCCTACACATTAGTACAACATTCTTCACAGCACATGTCACATCTTTATCTTCACCCGCTGTTTTGATTTGATCTGGAGGCCGAATAATTTAGATGAAGACAAATGCACAGCTTTATGTAGCTGCAAGTTTGGTTCATTTACTTCTGAGAAAAAAAGTTTGTGTAAGATCTCAATCGTACAGAGATTATTCAAAACAAAGGAAAGTTACTCTCCATCATCTGTACTTCAGTTAGCATCATCTGTACTTCAGTTAGCATAATCTGTGCTTCAGTTAGCATCATCTGTACTTCAGTTAGCATCATCTGTACTTCAGTTAGCATCATCTGTGCTTCAGTTAGCATCATCTGTGCTTCAGTTAGCATCATCTGTACTTCAGTTAGCATCATCTGTACTTCAGTTAGCATCATCTGTGCTTCAGTTAGCATCATCTGTGCTTCAGTTAGTATCATCTGTACTTCAGTTAGCATCATCTGTACTTCAGTTAGCATCATCTGTACTTCAGTTAGCATCATCTGTACTTCAGTTAGCATAATCTGTACTTCAGTTAGCATCATCTGTGCTTCAGTTAGCATCATCTGTGCTTCAGTTAGCATCATCTGTACTTCAGTTAGCATCATCTGTACTTCAGCTAGCATCATCTGTGCTTCAGTTAGCATCATCTGTACTTCAGTTAGCATCATCTGTACTTCAGTTAGCATCATCTGTACTTCAGTTAGCCTCCTTTGTGCTTCAGTTTAATCCAAAAAGCTCAGACAAAGTTGGAGATTTATAACCTGTGGGTTTGGTTAGACCCATAAAGACGTTTTCCAGAGGTAAGAAGATGCTATATGTTAGCATTGGCTAATTCTTATTACGGGTCCACCCCCACAGGCCCGGGGTGGTACTGCAGCATGTCAGCGCAGCCGGGACCGCCCACACTGGTTAGACCCTGATCCTGAGACTAACTCATTAACACATCTAAAGTCTAATGATCTAGCATGATCGTTAGACCTCCTCCCAAGTCTAACGATTTTGCAGGATCGTTAGACTTGTACCCCGGTCTAACGATCCTGCTAAATTTTCAACTTTCATTCCCTTGAGAAAGTTCTTTGGATTACGAACAAAATATTGGGAAAACCTTCAAACTGAAGAACAGATGATGGTGAGAACGTTCCTTTGCTTCACATGATGACATCATAGTTTGGTCCTAAAGTCTCCCTTTAAACCCCGCGGCTTTTCATAGCGTACCATTACAACTTTGTTCTAAAAATGGCTAAATGTTAGTTCTAGTTTAATGCTTGCTCTCAAGCGCTCGCACACGGTCGATCAGAGCTGCCACCTCAGCTTTCATCTCCTTCACTTCCTTCCTCAGAGTCTGGACGTCCTGAAAACACACAGAACACATATTTTTTATTCTTATTCGTATTATATATTAGTATTATATGTTAGCATTATATAATATATTATTATTATTATATATTATTATATGTAGGCTACAGTTTAAAGCGTGTGTAAAATCAGAGTTTCTCTCATTGTCTGGTGATAAACGTTGGCGGCACGGTGGTGACTGAAAACGATTTGGGCTCAATTCCACCTCCAGGCCTTTCTGTGTGGAGTTTGTAAAAATGAAAAAATGAAATGAAAGATAAGATAAAACTAGATTGATTAAAACTGTTGATCTCAAAATGGAGAAATCTACATAATTATAATAATCTACAGGTTTGTTGTGTTAATGTGACTTTAGACAGTGAGATATAAATGTTAATGGTCGGTCTTTGTACACAGAGTAATACATTGTAGTGTTATGGTGGCACTTAAAGGGCCCTCACCTCGCTGCTGTCCGAGGCCCCTGCTGCTGCGGAGCCACTGGTCGTTTTCAGGAGACTTTTGTGAACTTTAAACTCTTTGGTTTTGGTCGTAGCCACAAAGCCGTCTTTCAGCGAGATGAGGATGGGCGGAGCTTCCTTCCCGGCGAACCAATCATCTGCCTCCACCGACGGCTCTGGACCAATCGTGTCCGGGTACAAATCTTCTTGGAACAAGTCCGACTGAGCAGAGGAAGAGGCAACAACTGTCAATCAAATATAAATCTATTCACAGCTTTTAGGTTAAGTCTGCACAGATCGCCTTCATAACCTCAGGCACCAGGGGGTAATGTTTTCACCAAGGTTTGTCCGTCTATCTGTTTGTTTACTATTTGTTCAGGAAACTTCAGAAATGGGATAAGGTAAAAATCACAACATTGATTACAGGCTGTAAACATGAACCTAAATGATTCTATTTTGGGAGTGGACCTGAACCTCTTGGCAGAAGTCTGTGGCCTACGGGAGCATTTCTGGTTGATTGTGCTTTTTAATGAAAAAGACAATAAACCTATTCAAAAAATAAAAAATAAGACCCCAAAGGACAGAGTTCACTTTGAATTTGGAAAAAAACAAACTCCATGTCTCCCTCTGGTGGTAGATCAGGGAGTTACAGGCAGATTATCCTTTTACTTACTTCAGCATACATTTTCAACCTAAGATATAGCTCCACATTCTAAAACATGAAATGACAAAGTACAGTCTCATTAGGATTTTGAATGGCCTGAAATAAGGCAAAACATTGTGTCTTTTGAGGATCTGTAACTTATTTAAAAACAGTCTCACCTTTCGAGGCACAGTCATGATGATGGGCTCACACTTTCTTTCATGGAGTTTGTAAAACCTTTTAAAAAAAAATCACAAAAAGACTTACAACGTTATAATATGAAGCCATGTTTATTATTACTGTTGTTATCACAGTCTGATAGAATATCCCCTCAACATCACAAAAGTTAAGTTAGCCCATCATTAAAGCTGAGGTCCCTAACTTTTTGGCCAACATACAGAATATCATACATAAGAGTAATCTGCAACCGCACATCTGTACGGTAAAGCTGATTGGCTGAGAGAAGGTGGTCCTCTCTTTTAAAAAAAAGTTTAACGTTTTAGAGCGAGAAAATAGTTACATTGATTTTATTGTCTAATTGTTTTGTGGCTTAAATGATGTACTCCATAATAATCCCGCTCCTGATCAGTACCTGGCGATCTCGCACTTGTTGACCTCCAGGCCTCTCTTGGGCATGAACCCCATGCCCTTCTGACTGTCTTTGCTGCTGAACATGGACAGGAAGTGCACGTACGGGGCCTCGTCCGTCACCTCGAAGTACCGGATGCTGCTGTCGCCCTGGAAACGTGAACAAACAGACAATAATGAGATTATGTACGGTCTCTGTCTCTAACTGTTGAGTCTTTTTAAATGTCCATTTTCCTTATAACAGTAACCAACATCCTACAGCCGTTAAAGCCCATTTTCTCCATGGTACTGGACTGGTTCTGGTTCTGAGTCCTTGGGTTTCCACCAAGGAAATGCTAGTGCTAGGTACCATAGCAACGTACTGTTTACTCACAGCAGTCGGTCGCCTCTCAACAAACTGTGTTAGAAGTTTTACACTTAGTGAAGGGGAGAAATCATGTATATTTATTGATAATAGTAATAATAATAATAATAATAATACATTTGACTTCTTGGGCGCTAATATTGACACAAGGACGTCTTACATAACATTTTATAAAGCTGGACCGTAGTATTATAGACTGCTGTGGTACTTTCACAGAGGTGGACCACGTTAGTGTCTGGACCGTAGTATTATAGACTGCTGTGGTACCTTCACAGAGGTGGACCACGTTAGTGTCTGGACCGTAGTATTATAGACTGCTGTGGTACCTTCACAGAGGTGGACCACGTTAGTGTCTGGACCGTAGTATTATAGACTGCTGTGGTACCTTCACAGAGGTGGACCACGTTAGTGTCTGGACCGTAGTATTATAGACTGCTGTGGTACCTTCACAGAGGTGGACCACGTTAGTGTCTGGACCGTAGTATTATAGACTGCTGTGGTACCTTCACAGAGGTGGACCACGTTAGTGTCTGGACCGTAGTATTATAGACTGCTGTGGTACCTTCCCACAGAGGTGGACCACGTTAGTGTCTGGACCGTAGTATTATAGACTGCTGTGGTACCTTCACAGAGGTGGACCACGTTAGTGTCTGGACCGTAGTATTATAGACTGCTGTGGTACCTTCACAGAGGTGGACCACGTTAGTGTCTGGACCGTAGTATTATAGACTGCTGTGGTACCTTCACACAGAGGTGGACCACGTTAGTGTCTGGACCGTAGTATTATAGACTGCTGTGGTACCTTCCCACAGAGGTGGACCACGTTAGTGTCTGGACCGTAGTATTATAGACTGCTGTGGTACCTTCCCACAGAGGTGGACCACGTTAGTGTCTGGACCGTAGTATTATAGACTGCTGTGGTACCTTCACACAGAGGTGGACCACGTTAGTGTCTGGACCGTAGTATTATAGACTGCTGTGGTACCTTCACAGAGGTGGACCACGTTAGTGTCTGGACCGTAGTATTATAGACTGCTGTGGTACCTTCACAGAGGTGGACCACGTTAGTGTCTGGACCGTAGTATTATAGACTGCTGTGGTACCTTCACAGAGGTGGACCACGTTAGTGTCTGGACCGTAGTATTATAGACTGCGGTGGTACCTTCCCACAGAGGTGGACCACGTTAGTGTCTGGACCGTAGTATTATAGACTGCTGTGGTACCTTCCCACAGAGGTGGACCACGTTAGTGTCTGGACCGTAGTATTATAGACTGCTGTGGTACCTTCACAGAGGTGGACCACGTTAGTGTCTGGACCGTAGTATTATAGACTGCTGTGGTACCTTCCCACAGAGGTGGACCACGTTAGTGTCTGGACCGTAGTATTATAGACTGCTGTGGTACCTTCCCACAGAGGTGGACCACGTTAGTGTCTGGACCGTAGTATTATAGACTGCTGTGGTACCGTCACAGAGGTGGACCACGGTAGTGTCTGGACCGTAGTATTTAGACTGCTGTGGTACCTTCACAGAGGTGGACCACGTTAGTGTCTGGACCGTAGTATTATAGACTGCTGTGGTACCTTCACAGAGGTGGACCACGTTAGTGTCTGGACCGTAGTATTATAGACTGCTGTGGTACCTTCACAGAGGTGGACCACGTTAGTGTCTGGACCGTAGTATTATAGACTACTGTGGTACCTTCCCACAGAGGTGGACCACGTTAGTGTCTGGACCGTAGTATTATAGACTGCTGTGGTACCTTCACAGAGGTGGACCACGTTAGTGTCTGGACCGTAGTATTATAGACTGCTGTGGTACCTTCACAGAGGTGGACCACGTTAGTGTCTGGACCGTAGTATTATAGACTGCTGTGGTACCTTCACAGAGGTGGACCACGTTAGTGTCTGGACCGTAGTATTATAGACTGCGGTGGTACCTTCCCACAGAGGTGGACCACGTTAGTGTCTGGACCGTAGTATTATAGACTGCTGTGGTACCTTCCCACAGAGGTGGACCACGTTAGTGTCTGGACCGTAGTATTATAGACTGCTGTGGTACCTTCACAGAGGTGGACCACGTTAGTGTCTGGACCGTAGTATTATAGACTGCTGTGGTACCTTCACACAGAGGTGGACCACGTTAGTGTCTGGACCGTAGTATTATAGACTGCTGTGGTACCTTCACAGAGGTGGACCACGTTAGTGTCTGGACCGTAGTATTATAGACTGCTGTGGTACCTTCCCACAGAGGTGGACCACGTTAGTGTCTGGACCGTAGTATTATAGACTGCTGTGGTACCTTCACAGAGGTGGACCACGTTAGTGTCTGGACCGTAGTATTATAGACTGCTGTGGTACCTTCACAGAGGTGGACCACGTTAGTGTCTGGACCGTAGTATTATAGACTGCGGTGGTACCTTCCCACAGAGGTGGACCACGTTAGTGTCTGGACCGTAGTATTATAGACTGCTGTGGTACCTTCCCACAGAGGTGGACCACGTTAGTGTCTGGACCGTAGTATTATAGACTGCTGTGGTACCTTCACAGAGGTGGACCACGTTAGTGTCTGGACCGTAGTATTATAGACTGCTGTGGTACCTTCCCACAGAGGTGGACCACGTTAGTGTCTGGACCGTAGTATTATAGACTGCTGTGGTACCTTCCCACAGAGGTGGACCACGTTAGTGTCTGGACCGTAGTATTATAGACTGCTGTGGTACCTTCACAGAGGTGGACCACGTTAGTGTCTGGACCGTAGTATTATAGACTGCTGTGGTACCTTCACAGAGGTGGACCACGTTAGTGTCTGGACCGTAGTATTATAGACTGCTGTGGTACCTTCACAGAGGTGGACCACGTTAGTGTCTGGACCGTAGTATTATAGACTGCTGTGGTACCTTCACAGAGGTGGACCACGTTAGTGTCTGGACCGTAGTATTATAGACTGCTGTGGTACCTTCACAGAGGTGGACCACGTTAGTGTCTGGACCGTAGTATTATAGACTACTGTGGTACCTTCACAGAGGTGGACCACGTTAGTGTCTGGACCGTAGTATTATAGACTGCTGTGGTACCTTCCCACAGAGGTGGACCACGTTAGTGTCTGGACCGTAGTATTATAGACTGCTGTGGTACCTTCACAGAGGTGGACCACGTTAGTGTCTGGACCGTAGTATTATAGACTGCTGTGGTACCTTCACAGAGGTGGACCACGTTAGTGTCTGGACCGTAGTATTATAGACTGCGGTGGTACCTTCCCACAGAGGTGGACCACGTTAGTGTCTGGACCGTAGTATTATAGACTGCTGTGGTACCTTCACAGAGGTGGACCACGTTAGTGTCTGGACCGTAGTATTATAGACTGCTGTGGTACCTTCACAGAGGTGGACCACGTTAGTGTCTGGACCGTAGTATTATAGACTGCTGTGGTACCTTCCCACAGAGGTGGACCACGTTAGTGTCTGGACCGTAGTATTATAGACTGCGGTGGTACCTTCCCACAGAGGTGGACCACGTTAGTGTCTGGACCGTAGTATTATAGACTGCTGTGGTACCTTCCCACAGAGGTGGACCACGTTAGTGTCTGGACCGTAGTATTATAGACTGCTGTGGTACCTTCCCACAGAGGTAGACCACGTTAGTGTCTGGATCGTAGAACGGCAGCAGGACGCCGCTCCCCGTGTCCAGCTCCTGCAGCGTCAGAGGCTCAGAGAAGTTTTTCTGCAAAAACATTAAAAAACATTGTTTACAAAAGTGTTGAACAGTTGGAAGTTATTATTATGTTCCGTGTGTGCAGTATATTCTACACCTGCACATTATGGAAGCTACAATATCATTATCCTTTGAAGTTTAAAACAAATCAATTTCTTATTCATCAATCTACTTCCTAAAAGTTTTGTAAATTGTGATGAGACTAATATCCTGTCGCTCTGGGCAGGGCCTGGTTAGTCTGTGATGGGAGACCTCTGGGAACAGCAGGTGCCACAGTGGGGCATCTGCGGCTGTAAAGTGCCAAACTGTGGTTGTGTCCTTAGGCAAGACACTTCCCCCACATTAGAATGAGTCTGGTGTGTGTGTGAATGGTTGGTGGTGGTCGCAGAAAAGCACTATTTAAACTGAAGAATGTGGTGAAGCGATGCAGGTTGTGATGTCGCACTCACAGGGTCCCACAGCGCCACCTGCCTCTCGCTCATGCGGCTGAAGCCAGTGCTCAGGATCTTCCCGTCGGACATGAAGACGGCTCGCACTGGTCTGGAGCCTTCGTGAGGCTTCTCCTTCTCCTGCAACAGAACAACACAACATCTGAGGAGGGACTGTAGACCGTTTGATTTACTGTTTAATACTGGATCAATAACGAAGCTCAAAGTGCACAAAAGCATCCGCAAATTTACATTTTTAGTTTTTTATGTGAAGCACAGTTTGGTTGGGAGAAGGAAAACCAAATTTCTTATAAGCACCATGGGTATTATCAAACTGCAAGAAAACAGTCTCCCATCCTGCTTTGGCACTAGAGCTACCTGTCAAGACCAGGACCATCCCCAGACCAGGACCCGGAAGATTCCCATTGTACCCCCCACCAGCCTCTATTCTGACAAGGATTGGGACCAGGATTGGGACCAGGATTGGGACCAGGATTGGGACCAGGATTGGGACCAGGACTCACGGTGATGACGGTGCCTTTGCGAGGGTCCAGGATCCTCAGCATCTTGTCTTTGCAGGAGGTCAGGATCCTGGACCCGTCTCGGTTCCACACGGCGCTGTAGATCATGTCTGGGTGAAGGTCGACCCGCACCACGGCTTCTCCTCTCGCCACGTTCCACAGGATCAGGACGTTATCACAGGCTGCAGAGACAGAGGCGCATCAATGCAACAGCCAACAGAGACAGATATTTATTTATATAGCGCCTTTCTCAAACCACAGTCTCAAAGACCTTTACCATCGTGGGCATTAGTCTCTCACTCAGAGATGGGAGTCGCCTACAGGGGGCGCCATCAGACCTATTTTACATGTTTTTAGTGGTAGAGAAACTGGAGCACCTGGAGGAAACATACGCAGACACAGAAAGTTCTGGAACCACTATTATAATTGGGCTAAATCTAATTCAGGAATATTTTTAAGTGTATGAAAGTAAAATTATACTCTAGAAAAACAGACTCTTCACTCTGGACGTTATGGACATTATGGACATTTAAGATTCAAGAATTTATTTGCCATTTGCAATGGCCATTGCATTAGGGAGATACACAGATGAAGGAGTGGAACCTGCGCTCAGGAGGACGTTGTGGGCCGTGGGGTGCCAGCTCAGGATGCCCACACGTTTGGAGTGACCGTCCAGTCTGACCACGGGCTCCGTCAGAGGAGACGTCAGGCCGCCCTCCGGGATCTCCCAGATCTGAGGACCAGAGAGAGAACAGGTCTTCACTTCAACATCTTTGTTCCTGTCGTGGCTCGAGACCTTTTTAGATTAGTTTGTGTTTAGTATTTATTATTCATTGTTGCCTTTTACATATTCTATTTATTTATTACACACACTTGATTCATCTAGTTTTATTGTAATGTATTATTGTTATTATTATGCAATCGTGAATTAATGTTTCCAAATGTAAGCATTTTTTGACTCAATTTTGCTCTCTTTTTGCAGTGTTGAAATGTGTTCTGTGAGCTCTACTATAGTTATTATAGAGAGAGAGACACAGAGAGAGAGAGAGAGACAGACAGAGAGAGAGACAGAGAGAGACAGACTGAGAGAGAGAGACAGAGAGAGATAGAGAGAGACAGAGAGAGAGACAGAGAGAGACAGACTGAGAGAGAGAGACAGAGAGAGACAGAGAGAGACAGAGAGAGAGAGAGACAGACAGAGAGAGAGACAGAGAGAGACAGACTGAGAGAGAGAGACAGAGAGAGACAGAGAGAGACAGAGAGAGAGACAGAGAGAGACAGACTGAGAGAGAGAGACAGAGAGAGACAGAGAGAGACAGACAGAGAGACAGAGAGAGACAGACAGAGAGAGAGAGACAGAGAGAGACAGACACAGAGAGACAGAGAGACAGAGAGAGAGACAGAGAGAGAGAGACAGAGAGACAGAGAGAGAGACAGAGAGAGACAGACACAGAGAGACAGAGAGAGAGAGACAGAGAGACAGAGAGAGAGACAGAGAGAGACAGACACAGAGAGAGAGAGAGACAGAGAGAGAGACAGAGAGAGAGAGACAGAGAGACAGAGAGAGAGAGAGAGAGACAGAGAGAGAGAGAGAGAGAGACAGAGAGAGAGAGACAGACACAGAGAGACAGAGAGAGAGACAGACACAGAGAGACAGAGAGAGAGACAGAGAGAGAGAGACAGAGACAGAGAGAGAGAGACAGACACAGAGAGACAGAGAGAGAGACAGAGAGAGAGAGACAGAGAGACAGAGAGAGAGAGACAGACACAGAGAGACAGAGAGAGAGACAGAGAGAGAGAGACAGAGAGACAGAGAGAGAGACAGACACAGAGAGACAGAGAGAGAGACAGAGAGAGAGAGACAGAGACAGAGAGAGAGAGACAGACACAGAGAGACAGAGAGAGAGACAGAGAGAGAGAGACAGAGAGACAGAGAGAGAGAGACAGACACAGAGAGACAGAGAGAGAGACAGAGAGAGAGAGACAGAGAGACAGAGAGAGAGACAGACACAGAGAGACAGAGAGAGAGAGACAGAGAGAGAGACAGAGAGACAGAGATACCATCGAGTTCAGTCCTGCATGATGTGTGCTATATAGATAAAGTGTGTTACCATGACGCTGCAGTCCTCGGAGCCGCTGGCGATGATGTTGTCGTTGTGAGGACAGAAGTCGATGTCCAGAACAGGTGCAGTGTGACCACAGACCGTGGGCTGCGACATGTCGATACGGCCGCTCTGAGAAACAGGAAATACTGACTAAATAAGATCTTCTATTCCGTTCCGTTCCGTTCTATCCATTCTGTTCCATTCACGGCGAGTTTGTGAATCATTTGGGAAACAGTTCAGATTTGTGCAGTAACCATCTGCAGTAAAATGTGAGACTTCTTCTTCTCTGTTCAGCAACTGAAGGACTGTTGTTATTTGAATGTAATTATTGTGTGTAATGATTTTAGTGTGTTATTATTTGTTAAACACATGAATCGTGCCATACAAATAATCATGTATTGTAAATACACAATAATTGTATTATATTTGATGATAACAATACATTATATTTGTTAAAAAGCTAAAGGAGTTATGAGCCCACAGTTATGAAAGGACAGTGATTTCCAGGGTCCTAGTGTCTGAACAGATGGGTTTAAGTGAAAGGAAATTGCAGTGTTGCCGGCTGCTCTCTCAGTCACAGGTACATAACAAATAAGTTAAAATATTATAAAAACAGTACAAAACAAACGTTAAAAGTACATGTAATCACTCGGCTCGTTGTTTAAAGGGTGACGTGTCAAACCCTGATCACAGATGCTCCTTATAAGTATCTCAGAGAAAAGGGAAGTCGCACTCACTCTGTTGCTCTGGGGTTTTGACCTTATTTGGTCGTGTTTAAGACACAGGATGTGGGTTCGAGACACGAATCATAAACGTGTTTGTGCAGAAAGAAGAGTGTTCGATATTTGGAGATGAAGTGTTTGAGGAAACTAAAGGATCAACGACAAACGCTAACGCTAACCAATGTGTTAGCGAGAATCCTGGACCAACTGGGAATAAATGGAGCAGAATTAAACTTTAGAAAACAATCTCAGCAGTTTTGCTCTTGACTATGTTTACCTTTTGTGTTGATGCATTTAATTCTACTCTTTCAAACGTCTGACTTTAAAAAAAGGATGAAAAATATGTTCAAAATGGGTCAAATTTGGCAAAAAGAATCTTAATTTGAGCACATTCTGACTTTCTTAAAACCAGTTATGTCAATGGGACAAAGCAAAACTATCCTGTTGTAAAAAGATACAGAAATGTCTCCCTTGGAAATAAAGAAACAGTTCTTGGAATAAGACTAAAGGGCTTTGTCCCAGAATGCACTGGGCCTGAGAGGTTACTATCCACAGTGTATTCAACCTTGTTGAGCGGCAGCACCATGAAGGCCCCGCCCCCGCTGGCGTCCACGATCATAGCCACAAACTTGGGGTTGACGGAGCAGAAGTTGCTGTCCCAGGTCATCTGAGAGATGCGGATGTCGTCGTAGCACTGGTCGCTCTTCACGGCCTGCCCGAACACATGCCGGAACTTACTGGACCGTACCACCTTCCTCGACATGGCGAACTGCAACACACACAGACAGACATGACAGACCCTAACCCTGACCATGTTCCAGCTTCTTCCTCTGTCTGTACTTGTCTGGTGCACACTGGGGCACTATTGCACAAGTATTCCAATGTGGTTTTACTGCAAATGGAAAATAAACTGAATCTGAGAAAATCACATATCAAGTGCTAAGTGCTTTTTGAATATCACTCATCCACTTTAACTCTTAAATACATACATGTTTATACACATACATAAAGCACTACACATGGTAAAAAAATAAATTAAAAAGTGGAGAATAAAACTCCACTTTTCCTGGAAGCCTTTAAGCAAGAAGTTGGTATTTTGTAATTAGTAAAAAAGACTCATTGTTTGTTTGTTCAGATGATGATGATGTTTATAGATAAAAATAAAAAGTTATTTTGGGTTAATCCTTGTTTATAACTACAACAAATGCTCGTATAAAACCACATTTAGACTTCAAAAAGTCATGTTTCACACCTGGTTCTTTAGATTAAAAAAAAGGAATTTAAATTGTATGTATATATTTATTTATAATCATCTCCTTAAATGGAGCTTACGCAGAAAGACACCAAAGTGAAAAAAGAAAAAGGAAAAGAGGAACAAACTAATATCTTTCACAACCGCTTCCTCTGACTTTACAAACACTCTCTTTACTTAAACTACACAAACTTAAACATTCACATTATGATAACAAAAACAGCTTAAACCATTATTATAATAGATCCATGGCTTAAACAGTCTGTAGTTGTTTTAAACACGTCACTTCCTGATTGTTCCAAACCACTGCCTTTCCTCTCACACCACTTCAACACATGAGACATTTAACACACATTATAAAGACTTTAACACACATTATAAAGACTTTAACACACATTATAAAGACTTTAACACATTATAAAGACTTTAACACATTATAAAGACTTTAACACACATTATAAAGACTTTAACACACATTATAAAGACTTTAACACACACTTATAAAGACTTTAAACACACATTATAAAGACTTTAAACACATTATAAAGACTTTAACACACATTATAAAGACTTTAACACACATTATAAAGACTTTAACACACATTATAAAGACTTTAACACACATTATAAAGACTTTAACACACATTATAAAGACTTTACACAACACACACAGAGAATTTACACATAAAGACTTTAACACACATTATAAAGACTTTAACACACATTATAAAGACTTTAACACACATTATAAAGACTTTAACACACATTATAAAGACTTTAACACACATTATAAAGACTTTAACACACATTATAAAGACTTTAACACACATTATAAAGACTTTAACACATGTGACATTTAACACACATTATAAAGACTTTAACACACATTATAAAGACTTTAACACACATTATAAAGACTTTAACACACATTATAAAGACTTTAACACACATTATAAAGACTTTAACACACATTATAAAGACTTCAACACACATTATAAAGACTTTAACACATTATAAAGACTTTAACACATTATAAAGACTTTAACACACATTATAAAGACTTTAACACATTATAAAGACTTTAACACACATTATAAAGACTTTAACACACATTATAAAGACTTTAACACATGAGACATTTAACACACATTATAAAGACTTTAACACATTATAAAGACTTTAACACACATTATAAAGACTTTAACACACATTATAAAGACTTTAACACATTATAAAGACTTTAACACACATTATAAAGACTTTAACACACATTATAAAGACTTTAACACACATTATAAATACTTTAACACTCCTCCGTCGAGCAAAGACGTGTCTTAGTCCGCTCCTGCTTCTGAACGGCTTGCTATCTCCTGTTTTTGTCTTTTTTCCTGGAGTTTTGCCACAGACAACTTTAACAGAATGGAAATGATTAATTGGTCCCTCAACGCAATTGATTCTATCTTTTCAACACGTAAGCGTGGGTCTGGAGAGCCCGTGTGTCCGGACGGGACTTCACCAGCGGGGTATACTCTTGACAGCTGGAACAAGTTTCAGCCCCTCTGTCTGTCGACCCTGTCCATTGAAGATTCGGAAGACGTATATATCTTTGGCATTTTGGTGGTGGGAATCCTCCTGTTTGGGTTTGGAGCGATCCTGTTCTACCACAAATTCGGTGGCATGGCAGTTCGCAAGATTCACGACCTGCTGGCCGACAAAATTGATGGGATGTACAAGGAGCTTAGCCGCGTCGTTGTTGAGAGTGCCGTGTCTGGACAAAGGAGAGTGGTTTTGGTGGAACAGTTGATCAAAGATCTCGCAGCTCGTTCACTCGATGGGCATAAAACTCTGGAATTGAGATTGAATGACATTGTTTGTCAGGCTTGAACTCTCTGACCCGGCTTGGATTTGCCCCTGTGTACGGGGTCTGAGGGCGCCGTAATTCGGTTTAATTGGATTTAATAGAATATCTGCCTGCTTTTGATGCTACATTGCATATAATATTGTCCCCCTGAGGCGATGTGTTTTTCTCCTGCTGTGTCTTCTCCCCACTCTTATCTCACATTCCTCGACCAAGGCCATAAACAAGGTCCCACAATCTACAACAACTCACACTATTTCAGTCTCCAGCAAGGATCCCTCACCCCCGCCTCCCTCTACCTATCCATCTTGCTCCCTCCCTCCCCTCCATTCCTTATTGTTTTCCTACTCACCCCCTCCCTGATCCCGCCCCCCTCTGACAGCTACATTGGGCCGGCCACCGGAGGTGCTCATCCCGAGAAAAAAATCCATCCATCCATCCATCCAAAGCACAATGTGTCTATCCAATTGTATGTGAACTGTATGTTATTGCTCTCTGCTGTTTCTTGCTGCACACAGTGCCGCAAATGGCGAAGTGGCACGCTCTCTGCCAAGACAATTTCCAAGTGATAACTTTGTTACTCACGTGGCAATAAAAATGATTCTGATTCTGATTCTGATTATAAAGACTTTAACACACATTATAAAGACTTTAACACACATTATAAAGACTTTAACACATTATAAAGACTTTAACACACATTATAAAGACTTTAACACACATTAATAAGAGTTTACCTCTATCTGCAGCGAGAGCATAGCTCCAGATAAGCCCTGACTTTAGCAGCAGCATCACGGGACTGTGCGGCTCCAGTTTGTGGCTATAATTCAATAACGCTTCATAAAGAGGCTTCTAACTTTATCAGAGAGTAAACTGCAGCTCTGTGGTCCGGGCTGGCCAGGGCTGGCCAGGGCTAACCTGCTCCAAGTGTGGAAACATTGGACTAAGCATTTATTTTAGGAAATTGTTGACGCGGCACAAACACTGGCGTGAGGTCTTCCAGGGTGTTGCTGAGTTAAGAAGGTTTTTAAGCAACAAACGCATTTTACTGTATTTTATAAAAGGTTTTGTTCAAAATACAGAAACATTTGAACACTTTCTTCATTTTCATGTTAGATGTTTGCAGCTGTGAATTTACTGATTTGTTTCATGAAGTGATACTGTACTTCCTGGTCCAAGCTAAAGCTAACGCTAACGTTACATTTCATCTTCCTATTCCTTTATTTTCAAAGAAACACTATAATAAGAATATAAGAAACACTTCTGCTAATCACATCTGTCTTATTTGTTTTGTTTCTGTTAGCATAAGCACTTAGCGCCGGACCAATGGCTGCTAGCTTAACGTTAGCATCATGTTAGCTCATCCCGAACAAATCTATTTATTTCATCCAACGCCTGATTATTTTGAGGGTTAGGATTATGTTTTTTAAAACCATTAGCATTAACTCCTCGAGATGTGAAGTTATTGTATCTTTGACTCCGGAAGTGAGAAGTGATGTCACACTTAGTTAACTCAGGTTTTGTATTAAATAAGACGCAGTGTTCACAATTGAATTGTGATAAATTACTTGTAAATTCAGGGATGTTCTTTCCATGTTGTTTCTCTTCTCCGTGAATGGCATAAACGTTGATTATAATTAAACTACATATTATATTTTTATTTATATTGTTATACTACTCAAAGCCCGGAAATGATGAGCTTAGACTCAGTGAATTCGTTGGTCTCAAATGTAAATGTAGTCCTACGGTAGGACATTCCAGACTAAACAAAAACACAGGGCCGAGGAAACTGCAGGAAAGTCAACTTTTTACTTTTGACATATTTTTAAATCGTTTTTCAAATACAAACAGACAAAAAAGAAAAGTAGACATCATTGAAATGGAGCTTAAACCACAGTTCTTAATCACTCAATAGATTATAGAGTGATTTGATAAGTTTATAAAATTAATTTAAGCATTCTTTGTGAATAATGCAATATTAGAAAGATATTTTGATGAATATGGATCAAAGCGAGGGCGACAGTAGCTCACTTGGTAGAGCATTGGCCTGAAGGTCATGGGTTCAATTCCCACCTTGACGCCTTCTCCACCAACTCCCACTGATGACTGCTGGTGTTGTGTCCTTGGGCAAGACACATAACCCCACTTTGCCCAAAAAGCCCCCGCTGAAATATCAAGGCTATGCTCACTACAGAGCAGAGCAGAGGGTCAGTGAGTGACTGCCACCCCACAACCCAGAAATGGATTAAGGGGAAGAACATGGATAGATGGATGAATCAAAGCTTCCTGCAGAACAAGCCTCTTTTTATTCAGACATAACTTTTGATGAGGGTTTTCTACAGATGTAGTTTATTTAAATAAACGTGCAGAAGCTGCAGGAGCATTCTGTCACCGATGTCTGAAATCAAAGTGAGCAGGACTAAAACAGGAAGTTTTGTGGTTGTAACCGACTGTCATTTCCTGGTCCAATATTTGCAACATTTATGTTTCTGTGCACAACTTCATATAGACCAAATGCAACAAATTATTCCCATTTTGCGTAAATATTTAGAATATTATTAGAATGTATTGATGGCTTTTTGCTTTCCTATTTCATTATTATAAATTAGACTTTATTTTTCATTGCAAAACATGATACAAATGTGATTAAATGTAAAAAAGTCAAGTTTAAATTCTTTTTAAATCAAAAATACTCTGAAACCATAGATCTCTTATCCTCAGCCTCATCAGAGCTTTTCCATGTGTTGCAGAATAAAAGCCCAGTTCCTGATCCACATGTTTTCTTGCTCTACCTTTGCAAACACAGTCTTTACGTGATCTTAGGTGGTGTTTGGACCTCACCTGGTTTAGGAGCAGAAGGAGCTGAGTCTTTGAGCTGCACCGAGCTGTGGAGGATGGAGGACTGAGTCTGCTTCAAACATGGAGGAAGTGAGGAGGCCGAGGTGGAAGTGGGAGGCGCAGAGTTTTACTTTTGGGTCAAATGTTGAAAGTTGAATAGAGAAAAGACGAGACGAGTCACAAATTACAAATCTCTGTACCTGAAGTGTGTAAATCTACTCATCTTAGCATAAATCTGCTGCAGTTCTGTCTATGTTTGTCAAGTTTCAAATAATTACTCTAAAACCACTGAAAAAATCTACACATCCATCCATCCATTTTCTTCCCCTTAATCCATTCCTGGGTCAGGGGAGGCAGTACACAGAGCACCAGCCTCTCACTGATCCACCTGCATGTGCCGAGTCCATTCTTTCAGCGGGGGCTTCAGACAAAGGGGGGTTAAGTGTCTTGCCCAAAGGGTGAACCCACAACCTCAGATTCAGATTCAGATTCATTTATTTGCCATTTGTAGTAAAACCACATTGGAAAAACTGTGCAAGACTACCCCGGTGTGCACCAGACGACACACACCAGAGCTCTTGCCACGGCGCCATCTTTACGGCGCCATGCGACAACCTTCAGGCCCAAAGGCCAATGCTCTGCCAACTGAGCCAATGTCGCCCCTTAAAGCCTTACATTTAACTGGAATCTGAGTGTACACAAATGTCTGAAGCCTTCGTAAAACTAGGCATCTGTAGTTTTGGCCTCTGTTGACTCATTGTGGTATTAAGTCATGTGTCGTCTCAGATATTGTGTCCCGTAATTTACAAGACGCTACTTTTTTCTGGTGCGGCTAATATTTGTAAATCAGTTTAAGACTTATTATTTTGACTATATAACCGTTGATTATTGTCAAAATAGACGGGGGAATATTATCTACAAGGAAGCTAACAGCTAACCCTAACACTTTGATATTAAATAAAATTAGGCTGAGAAAAAAATGGAAAGTAGGTTCGGTCCCCGACAGCACATGGTATTGTGGCCTTCAGGAGGCCCACTACCTCATTCACTGACTTTTACAAAAGATATTATTGTACTTCCTCTTTTTTATCAATCGCTGATGAGGATTGCAGACTAGCATGCCATTTTGTGCCAATATTATCTCTCTGACCCCCACAAATCCCACACTTCATAGTTAGAACACACTGATCATTTACTCTATGGTGTAATTAACACGGCACAGAGTAATAATAATGTGGATACTGAAACATATATAGAAAACCTTTTGTTTTGTATTTGATGTAAATGTGCTATAGAAATAAACTTGACATTGATATTTTGTTTTGTGTCTGTAAAATAATGCTGATATTAAATAACATGTATTTTATTCACGCAGCAAGATATAGGATAAAGTTGCTACAAAATAAACCACAAAAACCCACATCTTTCAAAAATATAGACTTCGTTTATTGCACAATCGTTGCTGGAGGAGGGAGAGAGCCCGTCTGTTACAAAGCTTCCATTTCAGACATGAGGGAACAGTTATATTTGGACTTTACACTAAATTATTCAGTTTAATAATCCCAATTCCTACAAATGTCCGCCAGAGGGAGCCACACTCTATTCAACCCGTAACAGACAGACCCTCCTTCTCTGTCCAATGGAAAGAGCCTCATTACATGTATAGTGATGTCACATGAATATAGTTTAAACACCTTTGACAGGCTGTCCGGCGCCTGTCATCCTTTATGTGTTAAAAAAACTCCAATGTCTTTGTTAGTTTCCTTAACGTTATAGTTTTAACAAACACAAAGGACAGATTTTGGGACTGGATTCTGCACCAACATGGTTCGATTCAACTTGTCTTTCTTGGCCATGTCCAGTCAGCAACACATTGAAACGGAACATTTTGAGTTTCTCTTCAATAAACATCCCTAGAAGACAGCTGCATCTTCCACATCCAAAGGTCCACTTCAAGACTAAAATACGTATCGGTAATAATATTATAGGTCAATTCCGGTATAGACAGCCCATAATACTCTTTAAGTGCAGTTATTCTCATTCATCTCCTAAAATTGTGTAATTCAAAACAACAAAAATGAAATTCTTGGATGCAAAATATAGACTCGAGACCAATGAGACCAAAATGCTACTGCTCTTAATCCAATCTCGGTTCTCTGCAGTCATAATAAACAAAACTGTTTAATTCAATGCCTATTATGTTTTATCATTCTTTTGAAGTATAGAGAGAGGAAGAGGAACAAGTCAAGCAATAACGTAAAAGTAAAAAACATGCGTTATTCTCTTTGAGAATAACGCATGTTTAGTATTGCGGACGCAAAGGATCTTTGCAGCTGTATTTTGGGATATTTCCAAGAGTTTGAAACAGATATTCGCTGAAGTGCATTGTCCCCATAGAAAAAGAACATATACAGTATTTGACCACAGACCTTAACTCAGTGACTGCCATTGACGTATTGGTCTGATGGTGATTCCGTCGCACTCCCCTCTTTTCGACCGGGGATTACAAGAGAACAAAAATAGCTCGAAACAAACTTATTTTTGCTGATGAAAGTAGACAGTCCAGTCTTTCAGAATCTGTGGGTCTTGAAAGTCTGTAAAATCATCTAAAACGGCTGGTAGCTAATGAGTTAAGATCCATGGCCTCCACTGGAAGTCGTGTCGGCCATGTTGGTAGAACAGAAATCCATTTGACTGTTTCTCATCTATCGTTATGGCTCCCTGAGAATTGGGAGACCAGAACATGTTTTTAGCCAAGCCCTCCATACAATAAGTCGATATAGCTGCTGCTCTACAGTGGCACCACAAACTTAAGCTTATACCAAAGTATCGTAGTATAGTAGTTTTAACAATGCATAGATAGGCTGGGAGGTATCACCGTAACATGCCTAAAACACCCGTCACCGCTTTGTCCCCTCACACAAGTAGTAACATTGAGCTTAATAAAAACTCGGATATAGGATTATAAAAGGTTAAAGTCTACAATTTCCCATATTGTTTCTCTTAATTGTAGATACCGTTAAGTATTTATAAAGTGAAATAGAAGCATGGTTTTATGGGCGTACAGTATAAACCCGGACACATCCATTCGCCGCTATACAGTTTTCAAACTGGTTTTGCATAGGAGGTTTCAAGTATTCCATCCATCAATTTGCGCTTTTTTAAAAATTTGAAAAAAAATTTGCGTTTTCGCCCAAGCAAGGTCGAAATGGCATTGGGGCAAAACATGCATAATTCTGTGGTTTCTCATTGGCTGATTCTATCCGCTGCAGCAATCACGGCCTCTGTATAAAGCAGATGCAAATCTTATTCAATCCTTATATTCTTTTTGTCTAAATTGTGCATCTCAACATTAGCATGCAGAATCATGTGGAGAACCACGTATGGCCAGTTTAGAGGAACACCTGAGTCCTGGAAATGGTTAGACATCAACATTTAACTGTGGGTTTGCCTTCGCTTGCTTCTATGGTCGATAAGAGTTTAACCAATAGAAGATCAGATAGAGTTTGTTCTAAACCCGAGAAGTGGACATTCCTATGCGTAACTTGCGTGAAATTTGAACGCAAAGATGCTAATGACTTTTACATGTGGTTTTGGGAGAACACTTGTAAACGATAATTTAGCTACACAGATAAAAACTGGTTACAGGAGGCATATTTCCATCTCATTTTGACTTTGCCCTAAAAGAAGATTTTCCGATGGAACAAGCAGTTTTTCTCATTCCATCTGAGAGATGGCCTTAGTCACAGTAGAAGTGGACGTCTATCTCCTACGAGCCAAATAGGAAGGACGCATGGATGAGTTTTGGAAGCAGAAAGCCTGGTTGTGGTTTAAAATGTAGAAATAAACTCATTTTTCTCATTATACTTTTTGATGAGGGTCAATAAAAAGTGACCGATCACTTCTGTCCAGAGTCCACAAGGGTCCTTCTGATTGGTTATGAGACAAACACTTTAAATATGGAGCATCTCTTCAGGAAATGATCCAAAACTTTGTCCATGACCACTTTGCTATTCAGCGTCATTGAGCTAGCGTGTTAGCATTGTCCATCTACAGTCTCGACCAAATCACACAAAACTAGTCTTTTTAGGCTTGTTCCATTGTCGATTCTTTTTCAAGACTATCAAAACTAAGGTACAAACGACTAACTACGATAGTCCAAACACACAGTATATGGTTTAATTACTTTATTTTTCTATAAATCTTGCCGTGCCATTTGTAGACTATGATTGGGGACACAACAGCGACTTTAGGATCCACACTTTAGGATCCACACTTTAGGATCCACACTTTAGGATCCACACTTTAGGATCCACACTTTAAGATCCACACTGACTAAACTGCAGGTACAGCCTCATTCAGCGATAATAACGAATGAACAAAGCCATACCATGTTTAAAATCGAACTCCCATCATGCATTGCCATTCAGAGGCCATTCCCTTTTGCATTTCTCTATTGTAGTCCTATAGCTCCGGGCCAAACCCTTTTGGAATTAGCAGGCTAGCATAGCATGTAGAATTTAGACAGGTCTATGAAGAAACCATAGCGCTTAGGTTAGCACTGGAGGCTAACGTTGGAAAAGTAAAGTTAGTGGTCATACATGTCGCTATTGTTGGCAACGGACAAAAGTCATTTCAAAATTCTTACAATCCCGAACAAACAAACAAAACAAAACTTGATCCCGCTTATAACATAAATAATAAATAATTAGTCATAAAACACAACAATAATAACCCAAGAAAAACACACAGCAGTTTGAGATAAGCTAAAAAGGTCCCATTCCTGTGTTTTTGAAATGTTACATGTAAGTGCCAAAAGAAAGTGCAAATAAAACACAAAATATGAATTATCAGAATAAATAACATGAAAACAGTGGCAACAGTGAAATGACAGACATTGGTGTGTGGCTTTTTACCCTCAATGTTTAGTGATTAAATAAATAAATAGCCAATGGACGAGCAGATATCCCAGCAGTAGTTACACACTGCACTTTTAAAGAACACATTATGCTTTATTTCTGTCCATTAAAATAGAATGTTGGATTTTTTTATTTTGTCATTCCATGTTTTAGAAAGAGAATTAGCCTCCTTAGTAAGAATGATATGGTGAAATAAGTACAAAGGATACAAAACAGCATCGGCCTGCCTTTCCCTAACGCCACCACCAGAGGGAGGTGTAGAATTAGTTTGGTTTTTTGATAAATTGCGTGAGAAATTGCCAAAACTAATTCATGGGCAACACTTTTGTTTTAAAAAAAAAGCAGAAAACAGCTCTGAGTGTGATGTCATAGTGGTGCGATGACATCATACTATTACTATAGAAATAAGCTTTACGACAGAAGGGGCGGAGTCACACGTTCATACAAGACACTCCTGATATTAGCGTGGATGGATTTAAATAAAATTAAAAGATGTTTATTACATGTGCCTCAGAGTTTTCTCCTCTCTTCACACCTGCTGTTTCTGTAGTAACCATGAGCTCCATGGTTAAACGGATACGTCTCCTTTAACCCCGTTCAGACTTTCTGCACTGAGTTTGGTTTGTTGTTGATCCTGGATATTACCCGGGGCCAGGACGAGCACATGGAGAAAAACATGTGCCAAAGTGAAACAATAATCCAGGATAATCTGAGCCTCACATTTCAACGGCCAATGACCCTGATTATTTAACGGTGAACCCAGACAATACTCAATCTGCTTTTGCCAAAACTATCTTGCCCTCTTCAGTCTGAAGCAGGATTTACAAACGGGTAATTGTAGAAAATAAACTATGGTTGAAACGCTGCTTGGACTTCAGAATGTGGCTTTAAAGGAGACGTACCGTGGCTTTAAAGGAGACGTACCGTGCTTCTTTAGTATCCGTCCCACGGTGTGTACATTTCATACTTCTACTTCTTCACTTGTTTTAAGTTTCATAAATGCATTTAGTTTCTCCAAACAGTTTGTTGACACACTGGACGACAAAGTTGGTCCAATGCTATAGATACAAAGCTGCAAACCTGTTTATTTAAATGTGTTTATCTCTGTGCAGCACTTTGCAAACTTGTTTTATAAAATGTGCTGTATAAATAAAGAGCCAAAAAGAACAAATATGTGATGGGAGAATGAGACTTTAGCCTTTTGCTTTGAGAGCGAGGAACTTATGTCTATTATCTTTATGGTTTTAAAGTTAGGTATGTGAGCTTTAATCCTCGGACCAAAGGTGAACGACTCCTACCAACCTTTAACCCATTGTTACTGCAGCAGGATCTTTGTCCATCTCAGAGTTTATAACTTTAACTTTCCATCAACATTGGACACAAGAGACTTCACTAACGATACATGTCTCTGAAGAGGAGAGCCAATGGAAGAATTCTACTTTTTAAGCCGTAAAAACATTAAATAAACTTTAACTCTGATGCCAAACTGAGGTACGAAACAAAAACATCAGAGCTTTGTAGAACTATAGTGCGATTTCACACGTCATAACCATGAACGCTGTTAAATAGTTTAAACATATTTTAACATTTATAACATGTTCTAACAATGTATGCTGGATAGAGTTTAAACACATTTATAACATGTTACCACAGCCATGACATCATAGTATATTGGTAAAATGGCTTACAGTTTGGCTATAGCGATAGCCTGTTAGCGATAGCCTGTTAGCGATAGCCTGTTAGCGATAGCCTGTTAGCGATAGCCTGTTAGCAATAGCCTGTTAGCAATAGCCTGTTAGCAATAGCCTGTTAGCAACAGCCTGTTAGCAACAGCCTGTTAGCAATAGCCTGTTAGCGATAGCCTGTTAGCGATAGCCTGTTAGCGATAGCCTGTTAGCGATAGCCTGTTAGCAATAGCCTGTTAGCGATAGCCTGTT